ATTCCGCACTGTTAGGCTTACCTAGTTGTAGGAACTAGGTGCCATCACGACATGTTCATGGAGGGTGAACCGGGGTCGTGACAATTTTCAACGTGGTGGAATCTTAAGTTGGTTTCAAAATATTATTTGGGCAATTCTGAATGTGTTTGATTCTAAGTTTTGGATATGTTTGAGATATTGAAGTCTAATTTTCGGGAAATCAAACGGTTCGTTATTTGGACTCCCCGACAACAAGATATGAATCTTTTGTTACAAGCGCGTAAAGCTAAAAATTATGTAACTAAGATAAAAGTCAGACAATGTAAAGCTAAAGAGAAGAAATCTTATTTAAGATGAAATAAATATCCACTAGGTCAATCTAGCATAAAGATAAAAGGGGATAATGCTAATAGCCTAATCTAGACAGAACTTGTAGTTGATCAATTCTTTACAGCTAGTCTCCAGGTTCTTCTTCTTCTCCTCCAGATTGGCCGAATCATCAAGAGACAGCAAGTTTATGTTGTCATATGAAGAGACCTCAGTCTCGGCAGCTGAAACTTTTGCTTGAATCTCTTTAACCTCCTTTTGAGTCGCTTCTATAACACCTTCAAAATTCTCCCGCTAATGTTGTAATGTCTGCAACTTCTTCACAACTCTCTTCAGTTTCTTTTCACTAGAAGAAACTTTCTTGACTTTCTCACTTGCTTCAAGTTTGAACGATTCGAGATGCTCCTTAACCTTGCAAATCAGCTCTATCTTCTCATCTTCAGTCATCTTAGCAGCCATATTGGATCGCCTCTTGATCATATGACGTGGCAAGCTCAAAAAGAGAATCTAGTAAACTCTCAAATGGAGAAAGATCCAAAACTGGTCTTCTTCATATCCTCAAAAATCTCAATGATTTGCTCCCTATAATATGAGAGCAATTCTGCACGAGTTTTGGAGAGTCTATTGCAGATATCATTCCAAAGTCCCAAGATGAATTCCTTTTTGCGATTAAAGAAAATGCGCTTTCCAAATACATACCGCTACATTTGTAATTGGTGGAACGTAAGTTATCCCATTTGGAGTTTGTCTTTTTAGGCTTTTTCATGAGAAAGCGATGATGCCTTTGAAGATGACCTCACTTTAGACGTAGGCCCTCCAATAAATTCATCACTCACTTGCAGCTTATCATGTGGGGGTACCATCGGATGCCTAATGGCATTTAACTGCATAAGGAAAAGGCAAAGAAAGAAAGTAATTTTTTTAGTGAAGCTATTCGTTCAAGAAAAAAAGGGAAGGAAAAAGGAGAGGTGATTATATTCTACCTCTTTGTTACAAGATGTATGCGTTCTTCAGGGACTATCAACACTTGGAACCTCTACAATATCTACTGGGTTAGGCCGTTTCCTTTTCCAATTTTGATCGTCATTGGTACTCTGGCTTGTATCTTCAGGAACTCGTGTACTAAATGGAAGAACTGGAGGGTGTTTCTCTATATCTATTGAAGTGCACACCACTTCTTTCAAAGCTGCCTTTGAGCATTTATGCTTCCTTTTCTTATGTTGTGTAACTACTTTTGGGATTGGAGGTAGTTCTTCGACTTTTGAGAGTGTCTTTCCAACACTTGATCTTCATATCCTAAAGGAATAGTAAATATTAGCCCAACATTATCTACCAGAGCTTGTAAATTATCCTCGAGAAACTTCACATGCGCTTTCTCCCACCAAGACATATAATTGGTGGAGAAAAGCTTCTCCACAGGATCTCTCGTTGGGGGAATAGCCGCACGTGACATAGACCGATACAGTGTGCAAATCCTCCAAAATCTGAGTAATTCATCTAGAGAGGCGCTACAAATATCATTCTCCAAATAAAATGGGGACGTTCTGGTAAAACACAAATTGACGACCACACCGATGCGGGCTATATGGCTCGATGATGAATGAGTTATCATACCTCAAAGGGAGGTAATTAAAACGTAAGCTCATGAAGTAATTTGACTCCAACTCTTTAGGGGCCTCGTTATCCACATAATAATAAGGACAAGAATTAGTTAACATTGTTGGTGTCCAAACTATATCCTCTCCATTGTGGATGCGTTTTCTTGCATCCTTCTTGTCAAAGTACCCCGTGGCTCCCTCTCCTGAGTTTGCCACCATCAAAGGGACATACAAACCTTTAGCAAGTGGATAATGGGTTTTCAGGTATTGTGCAAGCCAGCCGTAAACATAATGGATGGGAAAACTGACTTTGACCCGATCAAGTTGGGAAAAACACAAAATCTTATTCAAACCGTGATAAATACTCGCCAAAACTGGGACGACAAGGCTAATCTTTCGCCTGCTTGCCATCATTCTTGCCATCTTAAAAGTCTTGGGACGAATGAAGTTCTTTGCCTTATAGGGAAACACAAAAGCACATAGCCAACATGATAAGAAGGATGCTATATATGTTTCATCTTTCTTGTCAGACCTCACCCTAAGCTTGGAGAATATAGCTTCTTGATCACTCGACCACCTAGTTATCTCGGAATAACTCCGTTAGGATTATGTGTCGACTTTAGGCGCGCGAATTTCTTTTCCTTTCGTAGTGGGGTAGGTTTATATATCAAAGCTTTCTTACACAAAAAATTTGTCTAGTTACTTGCTCAAGGAGATCTTTTGGTTAACACCCGTACCTTCCTTAAGGTGATGGAAAGCAGCAAATAAATACTTGCAAGATCGAGGAATAAATCTCATATGTTTTTCGTCCAAACCAATGAGTTCTCTTGTCTCAGGTACCACTTCTTCATACGGAAAACCCGCAATGGGCAGACCTACAAGAATATGTAAGTCCCAAAGAGAGATAGAAAGTTCCCCAGTTAATGTAAGAAGCGTGTTCATCTTGGGGGACCAAGCCTCACAAAATGCTTGCAAAATATTCGAGTTTCATTCATAAGTGAAAAGTGAGGCATAGACAGCATCTTAAATCTTTGATGTACTAAGGGTTTGTTGGCTTCCACCAACTACATCTTCAGCCCATTCCCATTATCCTGCAATGTTTACGTGGCGATTTATTGGAGCTTGGATAGACCATATCTTGGACAATGGATTAGAAGTAGACTTGTGCTCTAAGGTCCAGTTTTTTACATGAAGTGAGTTCCTCAAAGAAGGCCATCAGGCTGCATACCGGCCAGCTTGTGGGGTGTGAACTGAAAGCTTGGTTTGTTCTATGCCATCTTCAGTCTCGATTACGAGATATCTAATTTTGGAGGAAGGTGAGGTATAGTCTCTAAAATTTGCCATCTCTTCGTGCTGCAAAGGACAAAAAAAAGTCATCAAAGTCCAAATCAAGAATATTAGAATGGGTACAAAGGTCTAAATACATGAAATGGCCTCCAGTTTTCGGGCGGGGATGAGTATCCATCGCTTCACACCTTGAGAATAATCTCTCTGATATTTGGGCCACCTTGAGAGTAATCTCTCCGATAGTCGAGCCACTTTGAGAGAAATCTCTCTGATAGTCAGGTCATCTTGAGAGTAATCTCTCCGATAGTCGGGCCACATTGAGAGTAATCTCTCTGATAGTCAGACCACCATGAGAGTAATCTCTTCGATAGCCGGTTCATCTTGAGAGTAATCTCTCCGATAGTCGGGTCACAATTGAGAGTAATCTCTTTAATAGTCGAGCCACCTTGAGAGTAATCTCTCCGATAGTCGGGACACCTTGAGAGTAATCTCTTCGACAGTCGGGTCACATTGAGAGTGATCTCTCTAATAGTCAGGCCACCATGAGAGTAATCTCTTCGATAGTCGGGTCATCTTGAGAGTAATCTCTCCGATAGTCGGGCCACATTGAGAGTAATCTCTCCGATTGTCGGGTCACAATTGAGAGTAATTTCTTTGATAGTCCATCCACCTTGAGAGTAATCTCTCCGATAGTCAGGACACCTTGAGAGTAATCTCTTCGATATTTGGGCGGGAATGAGTAACCATCCCCTCACACCATATGATCGTCTTTTTCATGTATGGATCATCTTGTTAAACAAGAACAAATCCTTCTAATTTGGCCTAAAAAAATGAAAAAGGAAAAAGAAAAAAAAAATCTCAGAAGGAAAGAAGTAAAAATTTACCTTCTCGTTACTGCTTTTCAGAGCAGCTTACAAGAACCAAATATTAATGCTTAATTGACGAAGTAGTATGGGGTTTATATAGGTTTGAGAAGCATGAGTGGTTCGTTTTTTGACGATGTGGGAACAAGTACTAAAGCAACTGCAATTATTTGATACTAACACGGACTAGGAGAAGGTATTCGAAAAGGATTCGGATCTGTATAATCCGTCTCTGAAAGAAATTTGGATTTGTTTGGCAGCGAAAGTAATTTGTTTGCAACGAGGAATCAATAATCACTACAACATACGGCATCTATAGCTACGGAATACATTGTAGCTAAATATGAAAATTTCCGTGGCTAAACACTTTAGCCACAATATTTTTTTCCGTAGTATTCGTAGCAAAATGTAGCGTAGCTAAAAGTTAGCTACAAACTTTACATAATCCGTGGCTAAGGACTAATACTTATTGCCACGAATTCTTTTTATGTTGTAGCTGTGATGGTAAAAATTTCTTGCCACAAAAAATATACTTATAGCAAGTTATTTTATTCTTTTGCCACGACAAATAAAATTTGTTGCTATTTTTATATTGTAGCCACAAGATTTTGTGTTGCAGCAAAAGATTTAATTTATTTGCCACAAAGTTCAACTTTTGTGGCTAAATTTATAATTTATTCTCGTATTAATAGTACTTGTGTTTAGCTATAAGTTCAAAAGTCCGTAGCAATACATTAATGTATTTGCCACAATAATTTTTATATTGTATTAGGTATGAATTCCATAATTTCGTAGCAATAAACTGAAGAGTTTGCCACGATCAGCTTTAGCCACAAGAATTTATATATTGTAACTAACAATTCATATTTTAGCTCAAATATATAAATTTTAGCAAAATATTTTCAATTGTTTTTAATAAATGATATACATTAGTAAGAATACATAATTAAAGGTTCAACAATATCATTCAAGATAAATTAAAATACTAAAATGTTGTTATACTCAAAACGTAACGGTGTTCATCTACAAGAGAAAGAATAATTTCCTACATAGCTCTTTTACAACACGAATATACAGCTTTAAAAGAAAACTAGCTAATGTGAGACTGGATAGTGATGGTAACCATCAGCGGAATATGAAGAGAAGTGAAAATCCAAAAGTGCTCCAATGCTTTTCTAATACCAGATTCCGATCGCGAGTTGAGAGACATTAGTGGATTGTATTTGTACCAAATGCGTGAAAGAAAGTGTTCTTCTTATGGATATCAATAAGAAGGGCGCAGTAAATAAGACTGCCATGTTACCCTCCTAATCTTGCAGGACTTCCACCTTCTCTTTCTACAACTATATATGAATGAGTCATAGACTCTAACCTGTATATACAAAAATGACATCAACACCATAAGTTTAGTACATTAACTAGTTGGGACTTGTTAATCACGTTTGAACTAAACAACAGTTTCTTTGGTAGGGTAAGATCTGCTTCTTTAAAACCTTAAGATTATTAAAGCAATGTATATACGAAAAGATTGGAAACCGTTCAAAACATAAGCCTTATTTAGAAGCTCTTAGTTTGAAGCACAACATTATCTCAGCAAATTCATTGGATAGCGTCTACAAGTAAGCCAGCATTTAAAAATACCTTTAGAATGTACTCAACAACAAGTGCAGTCTCGTTCCCCTCCAAAGCTTATGCCTACATGGAGAATACATCATGTATGAATTGCGATAAATTCATTAAGAAGAATAATATATATAGTTAGAGAAAAGCCATTCAAGAAAATCACAATGACCTTCATGAATAGGTCAAGATCTTCATCAGGTTTTATTCCTGCCATCTTTTCTCTTCTTGAAAGTTCCAATAGCATATCTGTAAAATTCAACAGTTCATCTTAGGTAATGTAGGAAAACTGGAAGACTTGCATAGAGCTTTACCATATTTTGATCCAACACCCTGACAATATGCTGAGAAGTCCATAGGTCATCTCTGTTATATGCCAATCTTGTTGACTGACATAAGGGGATGTCTTTTGAGGAAAAACTCTTTCAGACCATGTCCATTGTAAGTAATATTCCCTGACGTCTTCAAATTGATCAACATTTTAATAGAATATTTAGGAAAAAAAAAGATTACTATCTAGCAGAACATGTTCTTTCTCTACCTCCAAATCATGAAAATTCAGATATGACCGTACCTGCAAGTCAGATTTGAGGCATCCAGCAAGTGCTAATAACAATGTGGTTTTGCCAGAGCTTGGAGGACCCAATAAGAGCGTTAATCTAGAAATGAACATCATAATGTTTTAAATAAACATACTCTCACCAGCTTTTGATTTCTTGGGAGTTAATGATTGATTCATACTTGAAAGGTCGGATTATCCCACTAATGTCATCTAAAATTGTCAGCTTTATTCTCTTGCTAGAGTATATTTTGAGCTGCCTTAAGAAAGCCTGACATGTTTGCACATAATACAGAGAGAGGGGAGATGTCATATGCTAAAATGATCAAGTGCTACTCTAACGTAATAATTGATGGCATGGGGAATACCTCGGTCATGTTGAAAATAAAATTTGAAATGGTTGGCAGTGCTCGACTGCCAAGATGCACATAAGCTTCAACTGTCAGATGCTGAAATCTGACTTCTACTTTTGGGAAGTCCAAATCAACTTTGCACTCAGAGACGGAGGCAAAATTTTAACTGTATGGGTTATGAGTTCTAGAACAATGACCTAAGGTGCTAATGAGTAATGACTGAGTTCTAGCTTTATGGGTTTGAGAAGTTTTCCTACTATCTCAGCAAATTCATTGGATAGCGTCTACAATTGTTTAGGAGTTATGGCTTTATCCTAATTGTTGTATAATATCTCAACAATCAACTCTTCTTCACCTATTTGCATGCTTCCTTCATTGCTAGCTGCCACAAGAAGTACAAAAAATATATAGAAAGCAAAGATGCATTTTCATATGACTATTTATTTAGTAAGTTGCACATCAAATGAATGCAGATACTCACCCTATATCCACTCAACTGATCATCAAGTTTGGGTGAAAATTGTGCCTCACCAACTCATTTGCTCTCTGCAAATATTCACATAGATAATAACCCTACAACTGTGAACAGTACCTACTCTAATAGAGAAAATTTATTAGTATGGTTTTTTTGTGTCCATATAGCTGTAAACTGTGCACAACCCAAAAAGTCATTTAAGATCCCTAGTCTACAAATGGAGGTAATGAAGAATAAACAATATATAAGAAATTATAGGAAAAAAGGCTTGTCCGGACTTAGTATTACAAAAATCAAGATGAGCTACTAATTCACATTTCATACAACAAACTAATTTAAACATATGCAAATATAGAAATTAAAATATACGAAAAAGCTCCTCCATTCATAATAAAATTGACATTTTAGTGCCACACTGTAATGAAGAAACTGAAAAGAACTATTCCCAATCAAGAATCCTATGAAAGCAATGGCAACAATCGAAATTAAGAAGAGAAACAAAAGAAAGACTAGGTTGGCCATACCTTGACGGTTATGTTTTCCATGAGGAGGACGAGGGACGAGGGTTCAAGCCTTCAAGGATGGTTGGTTAGAGTGGTGAAGGATTGGGATTTGGGAGAGATGGTGCCGGTAGCTTTTGGGGGGAAATTTCTAGGAGTCTAATATTTTAGGTCTTTATGGGAATTGAGAGGCGTAACTTTAGGTGTTTAAGGGAATCTTTTTCTTCTGTTTGTCGTTTCTTTTTTATTTGTAACTTTGCCTTTTAACTTTTCATATATTTGTGCTCGAGTACCTACACAATATTATGTAATAAACTATAAACAAAACTTATGTAGTGATAATAAAATTTTGCTAGCAAAACAACAAATAAACAAAATGGGAACTAAGATATTGTTTATATAATGTTTTGAATTTAGATCGTAGAAAAAAATTAAATTGCAATAAAAGATTTATTTAAAGTATAAATAGAATATATATTTTTAGAATTAGTTACAATATTTATACAATAAGTTATGATGAGATCAGTTGTGCGGGGATTAGTTATCCTAGTATTATTTCTTACTGATTGTTTGGTATATTGTATTAATTCTAGAATTGTCAATTTTACTGCTTTATCCTGGATAACTTATCTTGGGACTACAAGATTATAGTTATTTAAATTCTATATAATTGTTTATTCACACATTATATGTAAATAGTTTCATTATTTTTAGTTATAATTGGAACTTACAAGTTATATTTATCTAATAAAATTATAATTAATTTTTTTGAGCCGAGGGTATTTCGGAAACAACCTCTCTACCCCTCTAGGGTAGGGGTAAAGTCTGCATACACTCTACCCTCCCCAGACCCTACTTGTGAGATTTTACTGGGTTGTTGTTGTTGTAGCTATGGACTTAGATATCAAGTAATGTCGACACCAAATTCCATTACACAAGGAAGGGAGATTTGCATCTATACCCTGTTTTTGGGTCACCTTTTAACTTATACCCACTTTAAAAAAAAAAAATTATAAACGTACCCACTTTTCGGGTACTTCAGACATACGCAGTAGCAAAATTTATGTCTGAAGTTTGAACTTTAGAATTTTTTGCCTAAAGTGTGACCTTATCAAAGTAAAACTTCAGATATTTTCGTCTGAAGTTTGGCCTGACTTGCAAAAGCAATCAAAAAAACTTCAGTTCGTAGTACAAACTTCACACAGACAAATTAGTCTGAAGTTCTTTAGTTTGTAGTGCAAACTTCAGACAAATTAGTCTGAATTTCTTCAATTCGTAGTGCAAACTTCAGACAAATTAGTCTGAAGTTCTTTATTTTGTAGTGTAAACTTTAGACAAAATCAAAGGTTTGTGTGAAGTTCTTCACTTTATTTATTATTATCCCCCTTTGCCATTTGCAAACAAACGACCCTTCAAAAGTTTCAAGAGCAGGGACAAAAGGAAATTTATACAATTGATGACAAACAAATGGTAAAAGGATTTAACTGGAGATGTCATATCTCTCTTTCTAATTGTTTGCAACAGAATAATATTGGTGAAAAAGAGAAAGAGAAAGAGAATCTACAGATGCAAGCAGGAAAACTTCAAGGCTAGTGCTATGACTACAACTATTTGCAAGAGACAGAAACCCGCTTGGTACAACATCACTTTCTTTGAAGGAATAGGTAATGAGGTTCACCCACGAATCACGATTTGAATGTTTTATGTTTTATCTTGAACCTGTGACAAGAAATGAAAATGACCAAGTATGGAGTGCATAGGTCGCAGTTGAAGAAGAGGAGGCAGCGACGAGTCCGAAGTTGTCAAAATTAGGGTATAGATTAATTAATTTTAAAAAATATGGGTATAGGTTAAATGGAGGCAACCAAATAAAGCGCCCCATGCAATTTGTACCACAAGGAAGGCACTTCGAATACGATGCAAACCGTTGTCACGTTCTGAAGGTCCAACATGTTAGTGGACATTACAATTGAAAATGTACTTTTCTAAATTATGAAGAAGTGGCATTTCCAAGTAATATTAGATTCAAGTACCAATTTATGCCTGATCAATATGATAGAGTGGTAAGTATTCCTTCATCCTTAACCAGAGGTCTCGAGTTCGAGCCCCTGGGTATGAAGTCGACTTAGTCAGGGAGCGTTTTACCCCAATGTGAGACTTTCCAGCACGAATCCGAATTTAGTCGGGCCCCAATGTGAATACCTGACACCGGATGGGAAACCAAAAAGAAACGTGGCTTAGCTTTATTCCTCTCTAAGGAATATACTGACTTTTACGTCTCATAGTCAAATTATTTTAAGCAGCTGGCATAATTTATGCAACACAAATGAACCACAAAAATACCTGTTTTGAGGTAAGTTGATCCGAGGATCATTTACGGGTACTTCAAGCCTCGCCTTGAGGTTTATTAAATTTACACCTCAAGTAAATATTGTAGTAACGGGCATTTGTAGGCATATAAATTTTATTGGAATTAAATCCGTTAAATAATTTGGACTATATTTTAAATTCAAGATATATTAGTAAAAATAAACTTATTGGACTAATATAATTGAATTAATTATATAATCCGATATATATGAATTAAATAAAGAGATTTTTACATTCCTATGCCACATAGAAAACTTTATTACCCTCAATGTTTAAGGTTTGACTTACTTACACTTAGTATACCAAATTACCAATTCTATACCATAATTAATTAAGGGTATCATTAATTTTACATTTTTTACTCCTTAATTAAAGGAATCTACACGTTTCTCTCTCCTAACCCCTCAGTCCCACCCACGTTTTACCCATACCCACGTTCTTTTTACCATTTTCCATCTTCTGAAACCAAATTCTCCCTCTAAATTCATAGAAAATTGAAGAAACCTTTCAACAAAGTTGGTTTCCCATTTTACTCCAGTTGAAGTTCATCAATGAAGAACAAGAAAGTTCATCAAAATTGAAGTCAAATCTTCAAAGTTCATACACACATTTACCTTCAGCTTCAAATTTTCTCAATGAAGAAGAACAAACCTTCAAAGAGACAAGAGAGCAGCAATTCCACCATTGACAGCCATTAAAAAGCTTTGAAGCTTTGAATTCAAATTTGGGTTTTCAAATATCATTATTTATTTTGATTGGGTATTGTTGAAAATAATTGGGAATATGTTTTGGAATTTATATCTCAAGTACCGATTGAATTTCTACTATGTTCTTTCGGAGATGGCGAGAACACGTGCTTCCTCTTCTACCGCGCAGCAGCCCCAGAGGTGGAGCCTCAGATTGGTTATGACGAGGAGATCCCAGCTCCACCAGCTCCGGTGGGCCCAGCTCAGGTCACAGAGGGGTTCATAGCCACCCCAGTTCTTCAGGACGCTTTGGTTAGATTGGTAGGCTTTGTGGAGAGCGTCATTCGAGCGGGTTTGCTTCCAGGAGTTCAGCCAGCGGTGGTAGGTCAGCCGGGTACAGTGGCTCAGGCCGGGAGTGAGATCACTTTTCAGGAGGCGGCCGATGTGGGCCGTAGAGTTGAGAGGGTTTTGCCACAGGGAGGTGGTCATAGGTCGGATAAGAGGCCACGTCGTGCAGACAGATTCAGTGGTACCTCGTCTGGAGGTAGAGGTTCTTATGGTAGAGGCCATCCTCCTAGGCCCTTTCAGTCAGCTCCCCAGGTCGCTCATGGTACTTCAGGTGGTCATTCAGGTCGACAGGGTCAGCCTCAGTTTCCTCAGCTGCAGCGTTCGTGTAGATGTTATGAGTGTGGTGAGTATGGTCGCAACATGAGGGTTTGCCCGAGGTTGAGGGGTGCCTAGCTTATTTGGCGTATGTTCGCGATTCCAGCGCAGAGGTCCCTTCTATTGATTCTGTTCCTATTGTTCGGGAGTTCCCCGAGGTTTTTCCTTCAGACCTGCCGGGTATGCCGCCCGACAGGGATGTTGATTTTTGTATAGATCTGGCTCCGGGCACTCAGCCCATTTTCATTCCGCCATATCGCATGGCCCCGCCAGAGTTGAAAGAGTTAAAGGATCAGTTGCAGGATTTGCTTGAGAAGGGTTTCATTAGACCCAGCGTTTCGCCTTGGGGTGCGCCAGTGTTATTTGTGAAGAGAAAGGATGGTTTGATGAGGATGTGCATTGATTACCGGCAGTTGAACAAAGTGACGATAAAGAACAAGTATCCACTGCCGAGGATTGACGATTTGTTCGACCAACTTCAGGGTGAGAAGGTGTTTTCAAAGATAGACTTGAGATCTGGCTACCATCAGCTGAGGATTAGGGCGTCTGATGTCCCTAAGACAGCATTCCGCACTCGGTATGGGCATTATGAGTTTTTGGTCATGTCATTTGGGTTGACCAATGCCCCAGTATCATTTATGGAGTTGATGAACCGAGTGTTCATGCCTTATTTGGACTTGTTCGTGATAGTCTTTATTGATGATATTCTGGTGTACTCCCGCAGCCAGGAGGAGCACGAGCAGCACCTCAGAGTGGTTCTTCAAACTCTGAAGGATAGTCAGTTATATGCTAAGTTCTCGAAGTGCGAGTTCTGGTTGAGTTCGGTTGCATTTCTGGGTCACGTTGTATCAGCAGAGGGTATTTATGTGGACCCGAAGAAGATTGAGGCAGTCAGGAACTGGCCTCGACCAGCATCAGCTACAGAGTTTCGGAGTCTCTTGGGGTTAGCAGGCTACTACCGTCGGTTCGTGGAGGGTTTTCCATCTATTGCAGCCTCAATGACCAGATTGACCCAGAAGGGGGCCCAGTTCAGATGGTCGGATGAGTGTGAGGCGAGCTTTTAGAAGCTCAAGACAGCTCTGACTACAGCACCGATATTGGTTTTGCCCACAGGCTCAGGGCCTTGTACAGTTTATTGTGATGCTTCCCGTATTGGGCTCGATGCAGTATTGATGCAGGATGGCAGAGCCATTGCTTATGCTTCGAGGTAGTTGAAGATCCACGAGAAGAATTATCCGGTTCATGATCTAGAGTTGGCATCCATTGTTCATGCTTTGAAGATTTGGAGGCATTATCTATGTGGTGTGACGTGTGAGGTGTACACTGATCACAAGAGTCTTCACTACTTGTTCAAGCAGAAGGAGTTGAATTTGAGGCAGAGGAGGTGGTTGGAGTTATTGAAAGATTATGATGTTACTGTTTTGTACCACCTAGAGAAAAGCCAATGTGG